TCGTATAAGGTGGAAGACTATATTGAGAATCCCATCGGAAATTTTTTAAAGCAAAAAGTAGGAATTGTTTTTGAATTGATTCTATCTTGTCTGAGTAAATTTGATACCTTGGATTCCAAACCACCGAGCCGTATTCCAGAATCGGCCTAACTAATGTTGTAAACAAGGTTTTAGTGATATAAGGGTCACTAAATTCTTTTGACCATCGTTTCACAAATGCAAGTACACCTTTTTAGCCTTGTTGACGGTCACATTAATGTGAAGATTAAAATTAAGCTTAGGATCCATTGTGATACCAAGGTCCACAAAATTGTATACCTGTTCCAGGTTATGGTTACCTATTATATAAGAAACTGGCAGAACAGCTCTTCGCGAGAAGCACATTACTTTACATTTCTTAAGATTTAGAGGCATAAGATTTACTTTACACCAGTAAGCCATGCTGTTTAAGTCTGATTGTAGCAAAGACCTTTCTTCAATTGAAACGTACGATTTATAAAGTTTTACATCATCTGCATACATTAAAATTTTGGAGAATTTTATTTCTGTAGAAATATCGTTTATAAAAAGCAAGAACAGAATCGGGCCTAGGTGGCTACCCTGAGGGACTCCTGAAGTAACATCAATGACGTCAGAGATAGTATTTTTAAACAATACCCTTTGTGATCTATCATAGAGGTATGAAGAGATGCAACGTAGAAAATTAGGCGGAAGACCAAGAAGATCAAGTTTATAGATGAGCAACGAGTGGCACACTTTGTCAAATGCTTTACTGAAATCAGTATATATAACATCAACAGTTTTGCTCTCACTAAATGCTTTTGAGATATAGGATGTTAATTCAAGTAAATTTGTAGAAGTTGATTTGCCCTTGCAAAATCCATGTTGACTGTATGAAATGCTTGAAGTGATAGAATGCGTCAACCGATTTGTTATAATTGCTTCAAATAATTTAGGAATTGCAGAAAGCTTAGCTATGCCCCGGTAGTTCTCCACTGAAGACCTGCTACCGCTTTTATGTAAGGGGGTTATGAACGATTAATTAAGTCATTCGGAAGATTGTTCTGACGTGGAACGGTCCTTTCATTAGGCGGACTATGAAGACGCTTACGTTTTGACACATGAATGTCCTTCATAGATTGTACGGTATCTAAGCATTTAAAAGATTTAAATACATTTTCATAATGTTTAAATTTTTCGGTCAGTACCGACAACTCTCTCCCTACCTCAGAAAACCTATTTCTGGTTTGCCTAAACAACTTAAAGAGATCAACTTCGGTTGACCTGCACTTTAAGCAAGACCAGCGAAGACCTTTGCCATCATTAATAGCGTCCAGAATTCTTCCTGTCAAACCAGCACATTTTAGATGGCAAATACCATCACAGAGCCAGCACGATAAGTAGCGTTCAGATTCGCTTTTAATTTGGCAGTTATCAAGATCACACTTCATATTGAAAGATTTAATAACACTTATGTTAATAAAAAGACAAGCAAAATAAGTTTAACACAACACTGATGTATTTAGCTTAAAAATATATGTAGCGAACAGTTTGAGTATCACTCTATTATGACACTTAATAAACGCAGCGCAAACAGCTGTGACAAGAAATACTAAACGAAGTAAACAAAAAGAGCAAAAAGAAATGTGCAAAAATAGAAACGATCTCAGTTAACTACAAAGGAATAACAACAACAATGATAACAACAAATGACTCGGCAAGATTAGATGTAAGCTAGTGAAATTTAATTAAATTTAATAAAAACCACAAAAATCACAAAACTTTCACTTAGCTTCGGTTATTATCACACTAAGATGCTCGTAGGCACTTTTTATAGCAACTTTTACTCAAAATTAGCACAATAAACTTTGCAAATTACAAAGAACAATCAAGGCACAAAATAAGTAGAACTTCACAGCTTGACGTTTGCGCTTATCTAAAGTAAGTAAAATATTTAAGCTACCATTTTTAGCCACAACGACTTTTTTTAGCTCTCTTTAGCCCTTTTTTTAAAGGAATTTGGCTACCAGTAAAAATGATTCGCGGCAACACTGGTAGGGACCCCTTTTGTGCCACAACATTAAGGCGCGCACGACAAATCGGAGGAGAATCTCGGTCAAACACTAACATATTTTGTAACAGCACGTAGAGATTGATGTGTTGACTTAAAGCACCGAGGTCGCGGGGTCAAATTCCACTACATGCAATCCTAACTAATTACACATTTCTGCTCTTTAAAGCCCAATTTATATCGGGACGAATTGTTAATAACATTATCGTTGTAATGTGAGTTTATGACATTCGAAACGATACTAGGGTTCTGGTACTCGATTCCAAAAAATATCGTTTTTAAACTATCGGTTAGAAAATATCGGTATCGAATGCCAAAAGTATCGATATGGTACCGTATCGTATCGAAATTCGTGTCCCTAGTTCTAACAACGTCATCGGAGTTTCGCGAAGATGTCTTCGCCGCGTCAGTTACCGTCTACT